TGATATGGGCCACATCTGGAACTGATATCACTTAATGAGGAAATAAATGTGCAGGGAGAGTGGATTGCTGCCTGAGTAGAATTACATTGGCGAATACCTTCATCTTTATAACTGCTGAGGTTTTTGTTTAAGGGCATCTGAGCTCTGCGGCTTGTTAATAACGTAGCCTTGTTCTATAAAAATACGCACGCACAAAATTTGGACAAGTAAAAATGATACAACTTCACTGTGAGTCCAGCAGCAGCAGCAGAGCCTGGTGCTGCTATTTCAAGGCAGTTTTGTTTCCATAGTCTGATGCTTTGTCCCTTTGTTTTACCAAAGTTGGTTTTCACAGCTGAATATAAATGATCTTTGGAAACATCCAAGGTGGTCATTCAGAGTTTTGTTTTCTGGGAAATTATACACTGATAAAACCTGGGATGATCTGTCCCAGATCAAATCCAGTATTTTTTTTTGGTTTGTTTTTGAGATTTGGGCACTGCTGGCAAAGCTACTATTTGGAGTCCTAGAGTAATACAGCATGGAAACAGGCCCTTCGGCCCAAACTGGTCCATGCTGACCATGGTGCCCACTCAGCTAGTTCCAATTGCCCGCATTTGGTCCATATCCCTCTAAACCATTCTCATCCATGTACCTAATGTTTTTCAAATGTTGCTATTGTACCTGCCTCAACCACTTTCTCTGACAACCCATTCCATATATGCACCATTCTCTGCGTGAAGAAGTTGCCCATTAGGTCCTTCTTAAATCTTTCCCCTCTTGCCTTAAACCTGTGCCCTCTAGTTTTCAATTCCCCATCCCTGGGAAGACTATATGCATTCATCCTATCTATGCCCCTCATGATTTAATACACCTCAATAAGATTACCCCTCATTCTCGTACGTTCAAATCAATAAAGTCCTATCCTGACCAACCTCTCCCTATAACTCAGGCCGACTCGTCCTGGCAACATCCTCGTAAATCTTCTTTGCACACTTTCCAGTTTAACTTTATCTTTCCTATAAAACTGTGCCAAAGGGGGAGGCAATGGCCTGGTGGTATTATCGCTGGTCTGTTAATCCAGAGACCCAGATAACCTTATGGGGACCTGGGTTCAAATCCCACCACAGCAGATGGTGGAATTTGAACTCAATAAATATCTGGAATTAAAGAATCTAATGATGACCGTGAATCTGTTGTTGATTGTCAGAAAAATCCATCTGGTTCATTTATGTTCCTTAGGGAAGGAAACTGCCATCCTTATCTGGTCTGGACTACATGTGACTCCAGACCCACAGAAAAGTGGTTGACTCTTAACTGCCCTCTGGGTAATTAGGGATAGGCTATAAATGCTGCCCTAGCCAGTGATACCCTCATCCTGTGAATGAATAAAGAAAAAAAGGTGCAGCTTCACCAATAACTTATACAACTGTAACATAACCTCCCAAATCCTACGCTCAATGCCTTGACCGATGAAGGCCAGCATGCTAAATCCTTCTTTACCACCCTGTCCACCTGTGATGCTGATTTCAACGAACTATGTACATGTTCTCCTAGATCCCGCTGTTCTACAGCACTCCTCAGGACCTTACCATTTGCTGTGTAAGTCCTACCTTGATTTGACTTTCCAAAGTGCAACACCTCACACTTACCTGTATTAAATTGCATTTGCCAATTCTCAGCCCACTTCCCCATCCAATCAAGATCCCTATGTAATTTTTGATAACCTTCCTCGCTATCAACAATACCTCCAAATTTTGTATCCTCTGCAAACTTGCTAATCACGCCTTGTACATTCACATCCAGATCGTTTATGTAAATCACAAATAACAAAGGTCCTAGCACCGAGCCCTGTGGCACACCATTTGTCACAGGCCTCCAGTCTGAGAAATAACCTTCAGCCATCACCCTCTGTTTCCTACCATTGAACCAATTTTGAATCCAATTAGCTAGCTCACCTTGGATCCCATGTGCCCTAACCTTCATGACTAGCCTGCTGTGTGGGACCTTGTCAAAGGCCTTGCTAAAGTCCATATAGACAACGTTCACTGCCCTACCCTCATCTATCCTCTTGGTTACCTCTTTGAAAAACTCTGAAAGATTTGTCAGACATGACTTCCCACACACAAATCCACGCTGACTATCCCTAATCAGACCTTGACTATCCAAATGTTAGTTGTTCCTCTTCCTCAGTATCCTCTCCAATAACTTGCCTACCACTGATGTCAGGCTCACTGGCCTGTAGTTCTGTGGCTTGTCTTTGCTACCTTTCTTAAACAATGGAACAACATTAGTCACCTTCCAATCTTCCGGAACTTCACCAGTGACTAAAGCTGAAGCAAAAATCTTTCCAAGGGCCTTTGTAATTTCTTCTTCAGCCTCCCACAACGTCAGAGGATGGACTTGATCAGGCCCAGGGATTTATCCACCTTAATGCACTTTAAGGCCGCAAACACCACCTCTCTGGTAATGTGCGGTCCAAAACGTCCCCGCTTGTTTCCCTTATTTCCTTAGCATCCACGATTCTCTCCTCAGTAAACAGGGAGGAGAAATATTCTTTAAAAATCTTCCCATCTCCTGTGGCTCCACACATAGACAGCCATGCTGATCTTTAAGGGGACCTATTTCTCTCTCACCGCCCTCTTACTCTTAATATAGCTATTGAATCTCTTGGGATTACCTTTAACCTTATCTGCCAGATCCATCTCATATCCTCTTTTTGCTCTTCCGATTTCCATCTTAAGTGTGCTCCTACACTTTTTATAGTCATCTACGGATTCACTTGAGCCCGATAGCTTAAACCCGATGTATGCCTATATTTATTGCCTAGTCCAAGATATCCTTGAGATACTGGTGATGGGCTTCTTTACTGTAGCAGTGTTTTATATAACCGAATGGGTTTTTGAGGAGGACTCATTGGCCTGGAGCTGGCACGGCATAGAGTCCTGTCTGGGAGAGGGAAGTCAGTTTCCTTTCTGAAAGGGAATTTGTGTTCCTGTTGGGTTTTTACAACCATCTAGTCATACCAGTCTTTCTTTATGATAGTTTTAAAAAGATCTCAAATTCACACATTGCCCCTGGTGAGGTTTGAACTCATGCTGCCTGAAATTATTGGCGCTGTTCATTTGACAGTAGTGAGTAATGTAACCACAGTGCTGCTGTGCTGTTAATTGATTCAGGAGGTTATGTCTTACGAGCATACAAACAAAGAACAGGAGTAGACCACTCAGCTCTGCAGGTCTGCTCCGTCATTCAGTAAGATCATGGCTGATCCGATTTTTAACCTCAACTCTACATTCCTGCATATCCTGCAATAACCGTTCATCCCCATCAAAAGCAGCGTTCTTGATGGGTGATCACAATTCAGCATATTTTTGTCTTTGCCTAATATCTCCACACGTACAAAATAAAACTGAAAGACAGACATCTGGGTGGAGACATAAATAGAAAGTGTTTAGAGGGATATGGGCCAAATGCTGGCAAATGAGACTAGATTAGTTTATGATATCTGGTCGGCATGGACAAGTTGGATCAAAGGGTCTGTTTCCATGCTGTACACGTCTATGGCTCTATAACTGTGGATGCTGGAAATCGGAAACAAAACCAGAAATTGCTGGAAAAGCTCAGAATCTCTGCCAGCATCTGTGGAGAGAAAGCAGAGTTAATGTTTCGGGTCCAGTTCAGAAGTGTCAGTGGACCCTAAATGTTAACTCTGCTTTCTCTCCACAGATGCTGTCAGACTGGATGAGTTTCCTCCAGCAATTTTTGTTTTAATCTCCATTGCTGCTAGGGACCACTGGCTGATTTTGCCCCACAATCCCATTCCTGATTTGAAAACTATTTACAGCACTATTTATAGCCACCCCAGCCACAACCAGCATTGAGCAGGGGGCTTACTTATTTATCCTGAAGATCTGCGTGGTTCCTACAGCATAAGCCAGTGGCAGGGGGTGTGAGGGCTGGTGGGATAGCTCTGTTTGTGGTGTTTTTATTTCTGGTTTAATAGCTGGCTAAATGATTAGGCAGGTCATGGTGTTATTAAAGTGTTAATGTAAACTGCAGGGATCGAAACTGCCTTGAGCAAAGGAAAGCTTATTTTTGGCAGTGGGATACCAATTGCAGCAAATTCCAAAGTGTTCGGTCCAGCATCTTACTGACGACTGTTAAACCGTTACACTTAATATACATTTGCCAGCTGAAAGTGCTTTACAACATAATTATTGAAATTTCTTTCATCCCCTATGGTTGCATTGTGTTGCAGTTTGACAGAGCAGTGTGTTTACTACCATTCATTGTCTGAACTATTCATTCGTTCTCATACTGATTATTCGTAAATCTTGGCGGCCATTTTGGCCTGTCTCAAATATTCAGGATTATTGCCTTTTGCCAAAAATCTAAGCAGGACAGGGACCAAGTCCCAGGGCCCTGATGTTCCAGTTTCTGTTACTGATCTTCCTTTGTGCCACATGCTGCGGGGGCCTTGTGGTGTTCAAGTCTTCTTGTTGAAGAATTTCAGTAATTTTTATTTCCACCCACAGTATGTGGCGATTGAGTATCTGGCTCTCTCTTAAAAGCCAGGGTTTTGCTGTTTGTTACTTCTTACTTTAAACATTTCTGGGCTTCCCACTCCAGAAACAGCACAAACCACCTACAGAATCTGAAACCCTTACAAGGAGTTTGTGGAAATGTGTTTGGGGAAGAGGGTGAATCACTTTTAAGTTTCCGGTACAGCAATGGAGCCTTTTGCTCTTTGATCTGGGAACATTGCAATGACAGAAAACCCACCCATATTTAAATGACTATTTGTCCTGCAAGTTAATCTGGCTTCACCACAGGTCACAGAGGACATAGGCAGGTGAGAAACTAGTTAATGAAGGAGACTGAGCTTAATCAACCCACTGTTTTTAATCTTTAACATTGCAATAATACTTGGCTGGTATGTGTGCATGTATGCCTCCTGGCTGGTGGCTTGCTGTGTTACACAGGAATGCTGAATGTATGAACTGAGCCTTCTGTTGCAGGTTATAAAGGCGGTTGTGTGGTGCTGGCGACGGGAAATTCTGTTGGATTATGGGATGTGAAAGATTGCAACAACTTCAGGGCCAAGTACATCTGCAGGCAGAACCTGGCAACCTCTGTCGATCCAGGAACTGGACCAGCCGCAGTGACTCCCACACCCAGTGTGACAGGAAGCTGTCCTACAGGATGGTCCTCATCCCCGACTCTGCGATACTGCTATAAGGTAAGGAAAAGAAGTTTTCTCACTCATCAATTCCTGTGATCATATGCCCTGGGATTCCCTCCTAAATTTCTACATCTTTCCACTTCTTTCTCCTCCTATTGCAGTGCTCCTTAAAGCCTGCCACTTTGATCAAGCTTTCCATAAGTTGCTCAATGTCAAACTTTGATAATGCTCCTGTGACGTCCCTCGGGACACTTTGCTACATTTAAGGCACTGCAAGCTTTTGTTTTCCAAGGTTTTCATCCTTAGGATATGTTTCAGATAGGAAATGGGTCAAAATTTGATTATGGTAGTGATCTCTCACTGTCTAAACATTACTCTAAACAAGATCCTTGTAAAAATGATGTGATGCAACAATGTATGAGTGCATGTTTATTTTAGGCACAGATTCAAAACTGCTTTTCTTGCAGTTGTGATTAAATCACTTTATATATAAACAGTCATGTAATAAGACTGAGGTTCAAAGCAAAGCTCCTCACGGTCAGCACAAGAAGATTTCAGAATGTATACACTCATTGTCACGGTTTTGGATTGATTGACTGGGATGGCAGAACGATGTCGCCAAAGTGAGAGCCAAAGTTGAGAATCTGAAATACAGCTTTAGAAACAATTTGCTTCATCTCTGAACAAGTTCTATTGCTCTATGAACAGAAAATGGTGGAAATGCTCAGCAGGTCAGGCAGAGTCTGTAGAGAGAGAATCAAAGTTAATGTCACAAGGCAGTGTCCTCTAAGGGAGCCTGTATGGAGATCATAGGAGGACAGGAAATGGGTGAGAAGTATGGAAATTGGGATAGACACATCAAGGGCACTGATTTCAGTCAAGGACAAGGGTAAAAATTGTTGAAGCGCTGGTATGAAAGGTGGTTTAACCAGAGTACATCCAATATTGACTGAGAAACTGGGAAGCTTTTGAATGATCCATTATTGAGGCTGCAGCTGTTTACACTGGCTTGGAAAACTGGATTCTTCAGCTTCCTTGAACTGAGATTAAGGGTTCCCAGGTCATCTATTGAGGTGGTAGAGGTGGGTGGGCTGTGTGGATGGGTGATATAATTCCCTTGACTTGCTGTAAAGGGTCTGCAAAAATCCACAACTTCTATAGTATTGTGTGCAGATTATGCTTGGTTGATTAGATTAGAAAAACAGGGTTCATCTTGATTTGCCACATTGGGATGTTATCTTGACCACCTTCTTGACCTCCTTGAATTGTGAATGCAGCTACCCACTTGCATGTATTGGCCACATAGGCATAGAGTGATATAGCACGGAAACAGACATGAGCTGATGTGCTGTTGTTATTTTTAATTTAACATAGGTGCAGTGGTTGGCCATTGAGTCCCATCCACCTGTTCCACCATTCAGTCAGATTATGGTTTTTGTCTACACTATAATTCAATCACCCACCTTGACTCTGTAGCGTCCTTTTCATATTCATTCACAGGATGTGGGCATCGCTAGCTAGGCCAGCATTTCTTACCCTTGAGAAGACTGAGCTGTCTTTTTGAACTGCAGTAATCTAATGAGGGTAGATACATCCACAGCACTATTAGAAAAGGAATTATAGGATTTTGATCCAGTGACAGGGAAGGAATGGTGATATATTTTTGAGTCATGACAGTATGTGACTTGAAGGGGAGATTGCGGGTAGAGGAATTTCCATGATTCTGCTGCCTTTGTCCTGGGTGGTACAGCCATTATTAGCTTTGCCTAACAAAAGTCAGTACTGAAATTTTTAACTAACCTCAAGCCTTAACTACTTCAAGGGAGAGAATCCTGGATTTCCATTTTATTTTGTGTGAAGAAACGCTTCCTGACAACGTGGTCAGGCTTTAATTTTAAGCTTCAGCCCCTTAGTTCTGGATGTTGCCACCAGGGAAAATAGTTTCTCCTTAATGGCTGTATTGACTGCTTTAATCATCTTAAACACCTTATTTCAATCACCTCTTAATGTTTACCATATTTACTATATAGGAGATTTTTTTCATACTATGCATAACACCATAGGAAATTGTTATTAAAATTTGTGTGTTCTATATAATGTTACACAGCTTTTAGTTTTTAAAATAGACAAAAATGGAAGGAGACAACAAAGGGACTGAGGACAGATGGAAGAGCAAAGGGAATACAGGAAAGAGAAAAGATTGCACTGAATATAGGCAGGCAGAAGGCAAACAGTGGATATTGGGAAGGTAGACAAGAAGAAATAAATGGAGCAGGGTCAAAGTATGCTGCCTGCAAGAAGCCTCCAACATGAGGTGTAGAGCATGTAGATTTGGAGATGATACCAAGCCAGAGCATTAAGAACTAAACTAGTTCAGATTGCATGGTATCACTGATGTAGACTAGGCAAGTAGGACTTAATTGGTCACGATGAGTCAAATGGCATTACCTTGACTGTGCTGCTATGATTCTGTAAACACAGCTGTAGCTTTAGATACATTGACTGCCCCTTCAAAGTGCCGGACAGGATCACATGAACATGACCTTCTGAAGAAATACAATTGTCTTGATTTAAAATAAACCCAGCTCAGGTATTCAGTTGTCATATTTGCCAGGAAAATGGTTTGTTCTTTTTGAGCACTAGTTCCTCATTAAGCAATGGTTCAATTGCCTGTTTCTCTGAGACACCTAAATGCTTGACCAACTCTGTTACAATTTCAGCTTTCCTCTTATCCCTAGTTAAACCCAATTCTAGCCTGTTTGCTAAGTTTAAAAGTATATCCTTCCTCTGTCTTTCTAAACTTTCTTGGCAAATCTGGGAAGCATCTTCAAAACCCAGAACCTCTTTAGCAATGTTAAGAGTCATTTCCCCCACTCTTGATTTAACCAACCACAAGTAACCGAAATTAAACAGATTTTCCATTTCTCACCTAAGTTTTATTTAAAGATCTACGACACTAATCCCCAAGTCTGTTTAATCTGCTGTGACCTTTCATACCCTGAATCTGTTCAAATCTGTTCAGATCTGTTGAGATCCCGTACAGAAACTGGCCCCCTGGACTTCAGCCCCCAATCTGTCATAAAGCGGAGGTTGACCCCTTCTGATAACTAAAACTGAAACAGCCAGAGAGGCTCGCCTCACCTCACCTCACCTCATATCTGTTAAAGGAAGTGCAAAACATAGTATAACCTGCCTCTCACCCACCCCACAATGTGCTCTAAAGAAGTGGTTAAATAAAATGAAACCCTTTCACTCACACTATAATTAACAAATAACAATTTATTTATCTAACTCTAACAGTGAACAAATTAACAGAACTACTAACAAAATGGACAATTCCCCCTTAACAATCAGCTCGGCGAGCCAACCAACCTCAACACCCACAACCCGAGCTACAGATCTACTCCAAAACCTTACTAACTATTCCCGAATGAAACAAAATTCCAATGGTGTGCTGTTCCAATAAATACAAGTGCTGCTTATATAAGCCAAAGTAAAGAAAAATTAAAAATTAATCTCTCAAAATTACAGCCATGGTACGGCTCTGCAGAATGCTCTGCGCCCCCTCTGCTGATCCTCAGTCAGGAACGCCTCTCTGTCAAATTCTTGTGTCAGAAATATTAGCTAGAAGTGCAGCTGTACCTTTAGTTAGATGATGGTTACTCTGAGGGCTTAGAGAATTCTGTGAGAGCCAGTGATTTTCTGGTAAGAGCTAATGGTTATTAATTCTATCAGATGGCAGTTGTTCACACCCTGATTGTCAAATACCTTGTTCGTTTATAACCTTGATGATCTATCAGTTTCTTACAATAGGATCAGTCCTGGATTGTCAAAACCATCAGATTTAAATTTAATTGGATTTTTAGTCCCTAAGTGCCTGGTTTAAATTCATTGACTGATATTCAGACTGGTTGCCTATATAAACTATTGCCCAGGTTGCTAACCACACAGCCCCCTGGTACAAATGTTTCAATTTCAGGAACTCTCTGTGCACCTGTTGCCCAAAATCTCCAAGCCTAGAAAAAACACATCATCTTTTAAAGGGACCACACACTCTTTTCACCTCTATCATTTTACAAACATCAAATTCTAACGTCCTGCCTTCCAATCCACAAATACTCTACCCAACTTCGCAACACCCTGGCCTTCCCATAATCCCTTCAGGCATGAGAAAATCACTGAGTATGAATTACAAAGGGCAGTGATTACTGTGCTGTGAATTTGCTTGAACACAACATGAAGGGTGCTGCAATAACAAACAAAATCATTTTTGTTTCCATGCCGTGCTGAAAAGTTCGTACAGCTGGTGCTCAATCACCTTTGTTCTTGCCATCGACACAGCTCTCAAATTGTACCAGTGGTGAACTGTAACCATAACACAGTCATACAGCACAGAAACTGACCCTTCGGTCCAACTCATTCGTGCTGACCACTTATCCTAAATTAATCTAGTCCCATTTGCCAGCATTTGGCCTATGTCCCTCTAACCCCTTCCTATTTATGTACCTGTCCAGATATCTTTAAGAATTGTAACTGTACCAGCCTCTGCCACTTTCACTGGAAGCTCATTCCATATATGCACCATCTACTGCATGAAAAGGTTGCCCCTTAAACTCTTTGTAAATCTTTCCACTCTCTAAATCTATCCCCTCTAGTTTTGGATTCCCCCACCCCAGGGAAAAGACCTTGGCTATTCATCCTATTTTTACCCCTCATGATTTTATAAACCTGTATTAGGTCACCCCTCAGTCTCTGACCTGACATAAGATCTCCAGAGTGATTGATACAAGATAGTATGAAAGAAATGAAATGCTACTTTGAAGAACTTAATATTTATTATAACTTGCTGACCTCATGGCATTGCTCATGATACTCTGGAATCCAAAGCACGATCCTGAATAACCAAGGATCTCTCTGTGCAGTAATATTAAATGCATCATACAGGTTACCTCAAGCTTTCCCCTTTAAGACACAGCACAAAAGAATTGTTAAGTTATTGCAGATTGTAATAAGCAAGTTGGACTTAATAAGTTTATAGGGATTATCAGATGTTCAGG